TCGGCGGAGTGGACTTGAGTTCGGCTGGCGGGATCCATATAGCGAACTGAGACGCTACTCGAAAGTCCTCACGGGGTGTTACCCATAATTCCAACAGAGGCTGAAGCACCAGTGTGGTTTGAGTCCGTGGAGAGTGCCCTAGAAGTATACGAGGTACCAGGAGAGTTTTGAGGACGTTTGGTTTTCCAGTTGGTAGCGGATAGAGTCCCTTTTTTGTCCACGTGAATGAACCCAATGGAGCATAAAGATTACAATGTAATCAAGCAAATGGGGCTGGACGAGCTCAATTCTTGGGCTGGGAAATTTCTAAGAAGATTCTTGGGGTCGGGAAAGCGTGCGAACGAAGGGTGGAGACCTTTTTCGACACGTTTAGAAAGCTACCTCCACTGTTACCTTGAGGCAAGGCGTGTTTCGACATTCGAGGGCCTGGTTAAGCTTTTGGTTGCCGACTAATAAAAGAAAAATTTGTCGGAGGAGGCCGTGTGGTATGTGACACTCCAAGAAGGAATAACGTGGATGAGTGTCCCAGAGATATCCGCGTTGCTGCGAACGTTTGAGGAAGCGCAGGGTGCGAACAGCGCTGTGACACACGCGAATCAAAAGCCAGCGGAAGCGCACCACGTGAGCGAAGATAGAGCTGAGAATGAGACAGTGAAGAGTAGCGGGGCCGGATAAAGCCTAGGCGCACAAGGAAAACGTCAATCCAGGACATGCTACTGTTGCGGTAGCACTGGGCACCGAAAATTAAATTGCCCTCAGCGCCAGAAACAGCCGACTGAAGGGGTTCCGGGCGCTGAGAGCGAGAGCTTAGTGGCACACGTTTCGATGGGAGAGCTGGTGGTAGCGCACAGCGACTTTATTGCCGTGTCCCTCGGCTGTAAGGACGCATATAGGAGTGGTTTTGGACGCGGGGTGGAGATCACTGTGTTGCGGGAGAGCGCGATCCCACCGGAGATGGTGAAGCCGCAGGGCATCGTTAACTTAACATCTGCGTTCGATGATACAGTGAAGGCGAAGCGCGTGGCGGTCCTGTTGACGATGTCTAGCGAAAGTGGCGTTGGCATTGATCTGAAGGGGATGGTTCTCACGCTTTGCTCGTTAACTGGCCGACTGACAGCACGATCGAATTGCCTGCTGTCAGAAAAAGCGTGGAAATCACTTAAACATGAGTGCGCTTCCGAGAGCATATTTGAAGGTGCGGAGGAGACTGGTGGCACAGAGCTGACGCCGAAAAGTGGGCCGTTGAACACGGCCAAAGTGCGGGAAATAGAAGCCGAGAGCCCTGAAAACCAGGGGGAAACCACGACTAGAAAGGGTGTAATGCCCCAGGTTTTTGTGAGTAACGGAGACGACGACAAACACCAGGGCAGCCGCGCGTCGCCCGACGGATCGCAAGTGGCGGGCAGGGAAGATACAGGCGCACCCGAGGAGTTCCGCGAAAAGGAGCATGCCGAGGTAAAACCGCAGATAGCCGAGGAGGGCGCGGAAGCGGAAGAAATTGAGTGACAACGCGACCGTTTGCGCGTGGCACAGAGGCTGGCAGAGCCTCAAGAGCTGGGGGACGCGAGTGAATTGCGCTTTTGTTGCCCAAAAGTTGGGTCAGTTGCCATATCATTCGAGCAAGGCGTGGAATTTAGCGATGTTGAGGATGAACTGCGACCGACAGCAGCGTGTGCTGTGGGTACTTGCCCAGTCTCCGATCAGATGGCCGATACCGAAAAAATAAGACCACGACCGAGACTACGACCGAGTGCGCGAGATGTTTAGTGAAAACGGAGTGCCGTTCGGTGGCCAACCCAATGCGACTTCGGTGCGCCAACCGAAAACTCGTGAAGAAGAGAGATTAACTGGAAAGAGCTTGCATCCCCACAGAATCGCAATGGGGGAAGTCGGGAGACTTCTCGAGTGGGAACAGTGTTGCGTGGAGTTTCATTTTTAAAGCTACTTAAGGCGTGTTGCAGGTTTCCCTTGTCGGGCGCCTGACGGTGAGGAGATTGCGGTTGTCAAAGGGTTGAGAGTGCCAACCATACGGATGGAGCTGATAAAATTTCAGGGATCGTGTGGACACTACCTAAGCTGTGAGCTAAAGTACGCGGAGGTAGCTCGGCCGTTTTTTGAGCTAATGGGAGAGCAGGTTGAGAACAAGCTTGCGTAGGTGGATGAAGCGTCTCGGCGGCATGGAGCCACACTGTGTGAGGCAGCGCCATTGATAAGAGTAGATCCTGAAAAGCCATATTGGCTCGTAGGGAACTTGTCCATGGCCACCTCTGAGGTCTACCTGTCGCGGCGGGCGAAAAGCGACGCTCAGGCGTCGATCGCGTTTGCATGGCACGGGTTTTCTCCAACTCAATGCCGCGATTCCTCACCAGTCAGCTAGAATTCGGGAGCGTTCAGTTTCTGGCCCTTCAGCGCACTGATGACCATGGTCTGTAGCCCCCCCCCCCCCTCACTATTGTTGCCGACGCATGCACACTGTCGAAAGCACCTAATGGTCGCTCGGGAAATGGCAGCGGTGTCTCAGGGCCCGTTGAGACACTAGAGGACTAGGCACGTGGCGGAAACTCCATTAGTTAGGAGTGACGTGCGGGAACCTCGATAGACTTTAACAGCAACATGCGTTGAAATGTATGTGTCTCAGTGAAGTGTATTTTTTCTTGTGCGTGTGTGTAAGCATGCAGGAGTTATGGTATTCGTTGTTTAACTTGAACAGCACCATGTGCTGAAGGGTGTGTGTGTTTCGGGGAAGTGTTTTTGTGCATGTGTATGACAAGAAACATGTATGAGTTGTACAGTTGTACTCGTGTACACTGTGACCCCGTGTCGTTTTTCTTTTCCTTTTTTTTTGCTGCTTTGTTGTGGCGCCCGTTTGTTGGGGCCCCGAGGTTTAAGCAGAAAAATTTAATGCACGCCTTGCAGAGACGCCTGTGGCGTTCAAAGAACTGCGAAGTGCGGCCAGCAGGGTTGGGGATGTTCGGCGCCATCCTTTTATGATGTTGTTTTTCGCGTAGCTGCATTTGAGCTTAGAAGTGTGGCAGCTTGGGCCTAGTTGGTATGGCATGACGATAATTCTCGTGTCTTTCGTGTCCTTTTTGTCTCCGTGTCATTGTTTTGTTCTCGCCCTATAACTATCGTCATGCATTTGAGCGCTAGCGCGAATCTTGGGAAAGGTGTGTAATGTCTGGCGTCGCAGGCCAGAGGGGTGAGTCTTCTTTGTCGCAAAAGAGCGCGCTTCCCTAAGAACTGGTTCTTGGGAGACGATAATCTTGGCGTAAGGACGCCGGTTCTCGTAAGAAGTCCGCCGTCGGTCACCGCTTTTAACAACCAGCTAGGTGGTCCCTGGCCAGCGATGTGCCGGAAGTTGACGTGAGGGCATCCGGTGTATTGACACCCATCCTTCTGGATTAGAGTCCGCGGGACGGCTGTCACGCTGTACAGCGTAGTCAACTCGCAGTAATGGTATGGGCCCGCAACCCTAACGACATTACCATCGTGTGCGTTCATGCAGTTCGCGGAACATCGTGTGCAGGCCGGTCCTTTCGTCTCTCTCTCTCCGACCGAGAGGTCGAGTGCTTGAATAAGAGAGTGAGAGAAGAGGACTACAACAAGTGTATTTAGTCTGTCTAATAAACGGACTGATTTGTTTTGTTTGGCTGTGAGGAGAATTGGCAGGGGCAACTGAGGCGTTAAAACCTGGTTTCCCTTTCCTCGTGGTCGTTTTGGTCGCAGCAAAGAGTGTTCTGCACTATCAGCTCTGCCGAGGCAACATGCGATGATTTCAATGGTGAAGAGTCTTGTAAATTTGTATATAAGTTCCTGTACATAAAGTCGAGTTGTGGCAATTTATCGAAAGGTGCTGGTCTACATACTTTACAAGCAGCAGCAGACACGACAAGACAAGACGGATACCACGCAACCAATCTTCCACTCCTTTCTATAGCAACAGCCACTACGCAGCTGAGAGAGCTCTGCTCAATGGAACAGAGGGAGTGGGTAGAAGGTTGAGTTTTACTGTGTTCGTGTACGCATGCTCCACTACGCTTTGATTCGCGTTCACACCGGTTGCACTATAGCATTATACGCAGAGCATGACAAAGCTGAGCAGTATTCACCCTAACTATGGATGGCACTGTACGTCCTTCTTGTCGATGTATAGATTGAAGCGACGCAGTAAGTTATGTCAACTTATGGTGTAGTGCTTTTTCCTGTTTTCTTTTCTGTAGAGTCCTTCCACGCTAAACAAGCACTGTGGTGCCTCTATGCGTATGTTATTTGTGCGTTCAAACGATCCCTACGACTGAAGTACACTTTTGGTTGGCACTGGTGTGATCGTCCTGAGATATTATTTGATTTCAGATATAGAAGTGTTGAGAATGTTCCGAACCTAAACTCTGAATTATGGTGAATCGGGGACTGGTGAGAAGTTATTTTCAATGAACGCAGAATTTTCGCAAAAAATTAAGCTGCAAAGCAACCTGCAATTTTCAGGAAAAATGAATCCCAAGAACAGAGAGCCCAATCAATAGGTGAACAATTATACGAAATAATATAGCTTTTCAAATAGCTCCTCATAATTTGGCAAGACTTACAGGTGCATCTCTCAGTGCGCAGGATCAGAGTTCCAATATTTTCTCATTGTCATGGCATCATAACTGCGTGAGTGGGTCGTGCTTAGCCCTGGGTACGCTGTGTTATTTTCTTTTTTGTCTCTTTCCACTCTTTCAATAAACAAAAAAGAAAGAAAATGTTTACAAGTCCACATCATTATCCAGCCCTTCTTTTTATTTCAATACTGTGTGGAATGTGGTTAGTTTTATTCCTACCTTCAGATTTCTTTTCGCAACACCTGATAATGTAAAATGCAGAGATAGGCACATGCTATTGGCATCACTGGCTTAGCGTGGATATCAATTAGTGAAGATACGCTAGAGGTCATCGTATAATCGAATGATTGCCACGGATGAACACACAACCACCACCATGAACATCGTGTATGTACTTACAACCAGTTAACGACACTGCCCATGGCAGCAACTGTGATGACACCCTGGAAGATCATCCAGTCTCGAAATAGCCAGGCGAGACCCGTCAATGTCAAGAGTCCTGTCGTCCAACCACCAGTGGAGATTAGAGAGCCCAGCGCCCGGTGTCGTGCAGACAATACTTCCATCGCTGCATCGAAAGTGTAGACATTGCTCAAGTTAATACCTCACACACTCTATATACATATATATAAATATATATATATATATATATATATATATATATATATATATATATATATATATATATATATATATATATATATATATATATATATATATATATCTTGAATAAACGTGCCTGATAGGGGAAGGAGGGATCTGAGGGTGCTCAAACAACCCTCCTGTGAAAAATTGAGAACAATGCAAGCCTATCTATACCCGCAACTTTAGACACACACATACGAACACACGAACTAAGTTATACAGGTTGCCCCATTTTTCTTTATCCAAAGTTTAAAAATACGCCGACACACGCAACGACAACGCGATCAAAATGATGACGCCATGTTGCTGACTGTTACCTGGAGTGAGTCTGACTGTTTCTGTGTTCTGATTAATTTCCTATTTAGGCCATGTTGATTGACTGACTTTATAGGTAACGAAGAAGGTACAGAAATTCCATTGACAAAGTTGTTCGTTGGTTTGCAAAACGTGCGATTAGACAGTTTCGAGCTTTATCTTGTGTAAATTTTAGTGTTTTTCTGCTAACTACAAATGCCCGTGCTATGAAAAAAAAGTCACAGCTTTGCTACAAAGCTTAAGCCATGAACACAATAGCAACAAATTGGAAGGTCACGTGCAGATTGGCAAGCAGATCGAAACGTGCCCCAAGTTTCTCACGCGCAAAGAACGCACGAAGCATATCCACAGGTACAAAACAACGTGAATAAGTGTCTCGTTGATATGTTGGGTTTAACATCTCAAAACTAAATAAGCGTGTCTGTTGTTACTTTTGTGTGTCTAAAAACTGTGACCTTTTCACAAACGGAGACTGTGCAACTATTGCAGTGACCTTTGTGCACCTGGTAGCTACAAGAGAATTGCCCCACTGCGATGGTCTAGTGGCTAAGGTACTCGGCTACTGACCCGCAGGTCGCGGGATCAAATCCCGGCTGCAGTGGTTGTATTTTTGATGGAGGCGAAAATGCTGTAGGTCAGTGAGCTCAGGTTTGCGTGCACGTTAAATAACCTCCGGCGGGCGAAATTTCTGCAGCCTTCAACTGAGGCGTCTCTCATAATCATATGGTGGTTTTGGGATGCTAAACCCCATGTCTCAATAAATTAAGCAAGTGTACTTAATGTAGGCTTTCTAAAATAGTCTGAAATGGCGAATGTTACGCGTGCTAACGCTCGTTTCTTTGTGGCATACTTCAAGCACCCATTAAGAACCAATGTTACGCTAGCAACCGATCAGGAGATATACATTGAGCCCGATGACGTGTCACGTTATACTCTTGAAGTAGAAGCTCAAGCGTCATCCAAGTTTCCTTCAATATATAGGTTGCCACCCATTCACCAATATTTTCTTTTTATTTATTTATATTATTTATTTGATATTGTACCCCTCGCTTGAAATCATTATAGGGAGGGTGTTGCATAATACATAGTATTCACACAATAAAACAGCATTCAATCGCACACAGGAATAACAGAATAATAGTCATCAACAAGAAAAGAAGAAACAAACAGCAGTGACTTTGCGGATTAAAAATCAGGAAACAAATGCTGGTGACAGAATTTAGCAATTATCACTGCAGAGAAAGCTGTCTGACGCATCTTTAAAGTTGACTGACATCGTTTTTAGCACAACCAAATCGGGTAGGCTATTCCAAATATACCCGCATGGCCAGTTTACAGTAATAAAATTTCAGCTCAACTTTCCTGAACTCACCATTCGGCGTAAGATAGCCCTGTTCTGTCTCTTTCATAAGCTTTATTAATATAACAATAGCCTTCGTGAACATTTTGTTAAACCCCCTCATTCATATTACTCAGAATCAATCATCCACAAAAGAGTCATGTTCCTCAAAGGAGAACCACAACCCATTTTCACGCTTTCATTGTAAGAACTACATCTGAATAGAATCTACTCCCACGATATGCTACCGCAATTACCAACACTGCACGTATTAAGGTTTTTTTTACAACACATGTTTGGCGTTGCTTGATTGCTGCTTCGTGGTATATATATATATATATATATATATATATATATATATATATATATATATATATATATATATATATATATATATATATATATGTGTGTGTGTGTGTGTGTGTGTGTGTGTGTGTGTGTGTGTGTGTGTTTATTTAGTTAGGATTGTTTGCTGTTCTTTGCTTGGTTCTTGAACATGTACTACCTGCATTATCGCTACTGCTACATTGTTTTTGTTGACATAGTTTATATATGAAAATTTCTGTATTATTCTGCCAAATATTGAAGTTTCGTTCTTGTATATATTTATCAAGTGTTGTTTCCGGTTTTGACATATAGCATGCCCCTCCCCTCTGTAATGTGAAAACCTTCAGGGTAAAATGAATTGAAAAAAATTGCGTCTGGGAAAAAGGAGTGGCGGAAATCATTCATGCGTGTGAAATAGGGTTGAATAGCTCTGCTATTAATAAGACGATAACTTCGCCTTCCATGTGGCCGCTAATTTCCTCCTACTCGACTAGCTTCTACACTAGCTAAGAAGAGAAGATGTTTGAGGTTCGGAATGGGTCCCCTCGATGACTCGAGTGCACGGTGGCAGCACGAAGGAAGAGCCGCAGTTTGGTGAAGAGACGCTTTATTGCAGCCTCGGGCATCTGCCCGAGTCCAAGCCCGAACCTCCGCTCTCACATTTCAGATTCAAACATCCTCTTTTCAACCCTCGGTTGAACAAAGGGTCTTCACACAAACCAATCACACGTTGGGACTCGCATCATCAAAACCAATCTCAGAATCAGTTTCACAACAGGCAGAAATTGGTAAATATCACGTTATGAAGTAAATCACGAGCGGAGATAGATTCTCCACGTTTCACACTCTCTCCCATGCCAGGCCGTGTATCGGCCGCTCTCTTTCAGTAGCCGTTCTCACGCTCGGGATCCATCAACTTTCTCATTAACGTCGCTTCGTAGAAGCTTTTGTAAGCGCGGAGATTACACTGTCGGACCCTGTGCGCTGACCAGGTGTGTATGCGACAGCGAGGCGCCCCGCCATCCTAACAACACTCGGTAATTACGCATAGCGGGGGAGCATAAGCTCGTGTCCGTGCCGCCACTATGTCTCGCTCAGCCCAGTGGTCACGTCCCCACGTCAATCTCAATGGCTCGCGTGCATGCCAACAATGACTGAAACTCAGAGGGCGGCACCTGGCCTGCTTTTTGCCAGATTGTCTTCCGAGTAAACCTTTCCCTTCTATTCCCAAACGTGGGTGACCTTGACGGCTCCGCTCGTGAACCGTGTACACGAAGGAGTCTCCTTCATTTCCCGTGCGCAGGTCTCCCGCGTTCACCTTCGCCGAACCGATCAACTTTCTTAGCTGACGGGTCGGGAACTGGCTCCGCGCTCTGCATCAGCCGCAATAATTGCGCTACACACAAGACGCCACCAAAGGTTACCTCATGCTAACTCATCCCCCCTCAAGAGTGTTACTACATACTCGATGTCCAGTAACGCAATAAAAAAACAAGAAAATTGTTCAAAATAAACTCACTCTTGGTGCGCGCATATGCGTGAGCCGATTTTCACTTCAATCTCAACAGGATAACGTTCGCGTCCATCTGCGAAATAGACACAGTGACTCTCTCGTAATGCACACCAATGAAGAGTGCACTCAGAATGAAATCCACAGCGCCAGTCATTTAGCATTAGCGTGAAACAGGGCACACGCACCGTGCATCTCCTGCGGCTATTGTCTTTTAAATTCCCCACACCACAAGGTAGTTGTCCCAACACGTGAGACCCACTTCATGCGCCCTCCAGGCTCCGTATGAAGCACTTAAATAGAGTGACGGACCCAGCGCTATAGGTATACCTTAGTCTCAACGGATCACACCAAGAAAAGTATTTAGAATGAACTTACTTCATAAATGGCATTTATTTTATCTACAAAATTATTCCTACAAAACATATCTACTACACATAAAAGCAGTTTTACCATTTAGAGACAAGCTCGTATCTCTACAACTATAACTCAACAAAAAATGCCACGTGCAACAAACAAAACATTTTCACATCACGCTGGAACTATTACTCTCTTCCACCCACTTAACATCACGCATAACACCTAAACGTGCGATGCAAACTCCTGTACAGTCGTTCAAGTCACAGAGACTACTTGAGTGGCAATACAACAACAACGAGAAAAAAACTTAAATATATGAAACAGACTAAACGTCACCTTGCCAGAAAGAGCTACAATCACGCAACCCAGTGATCATCCGAGACGCGAAAGAACACAAGCAGCCTCGTTCAGCATGCCTTCAATACGAACAAGTTATTTTTTCACATTCGCCTCTCATTCAACTGTGGACGCCTCTCGTCTCGACTATCTCAGCCTCTTACTGAAGAATGCGACTGATAGTCCACATTCACCTATCGTTTGGGTGAGGCAACCTATAATTGCCGTTTCCAATGCGTTCGTATAGCTAAAGAAAAAGCTTCACTGGGGTTAGTTGCCGTCAACTCAGAAATCAAACCGAAAGCTTCTCTCAATCAAACGCTACCTGTGCTTCTACGTTTCACGACTGCATGTAAGGCATTCCTGAACCGCCGTTACCGATAAATAACTGGCTTTTCACTAAAAGCCTTTCACAATGTCACCGCTCTTCGGTAACACGCCATACCTGAACACACAAATAAAACCAAAAAAAATGCTTACAAAATTAACTTCTCGCCGTGGCAATCACGTGAAAAAAAAAAGACTGTTTCAGAACATAAGATCAACAACTCAGAACAATGATTACCTTCAACAAATCCGGTAGTTCAATTGTCCAAAGAACTTACGGCTCCACGTCACACTCGAGCCGCACACGCGATGGTCTTGGCCTAACGTCTTTTCCGTTTGAACTGGGAATGAGTAAGACGTACAACCCACTCATTCCACCACCGTTACGCAATGCTAGATGCTTTTTAAC